GAAGGGCAGGAAGTTCTGGCGCTATATGGTTCATGGGGTCACGAAGAGTCGGACACAACTTAACGACTGAACAACAACAACAATTCAGGAATTTATAATATATCAACGATAGTACTGACTTCCAAGAACAATCTTCTAACCGTTTTTGCATTTGTAATACAAATTGTTTGCAGTAATGCTGATCGGTAATAGAAGGATTGTTCATTTTTACATGGCCTCTAAAGTGAAATGTCAACCCATTCCTCTTATGACCTGGATTGTGTTAATTCTGAAGCAGTCATGATGTGGACTACAATGGATTCTGCTAAAAGCTTGCTGTTTTGCTGAATGTCTAAGCTGATGATGAAGACTGGAGGAGGAGGAAATACATTTAATTAGAGGCCAACAGGAGCTCCAGGACATTTACAGAGACTGTAGATTCAGAGAACTATGAGGTTGCTTGGAATAATGAATCCTAAAAAATAGGCTGCAATTGTTTATTAATAGCTTTCATTTCTACAGTTGCTTATTAGAAGGAAACATATCTATAAGTAGAAGAAGCCTCAACCAGATGGAGTTTTTAAAAAACAAAGGGAGAAGAATAAGAGTAGCATTTTCCAGTCTGATGCTCTCCACGTGTGTTGGGTTTTAACCCCCAAAGGGGGGCACTATAGCCAAAGATCCACTACCAGCAGAGCATGGATTGCAGTCTTACATGGTCTTCTTGGAACAGTTTTAAGCTCTGTTCAATTTTAAAAAATCAAGTCTAGTTCAATTTGTCCTTCACATTCCACAGTTAGGGGCTTAGGGGAAAACGTAAGTCAATTAATTTGCAACAGACCATGCGCAACTATTTTGTACAAATGTTGACCTCTGCATTTTGCATGACAGCTCAGGACAATTTCAAACTTTGCAGGCCAGAACTAAGCCTTCCGAAAAAGTAAATAAGTAAAATAACACCTTAAAGTTTTACTTATTTATTTTTTCAGAATAATATAATATGAGCAAGAAAATGTGCTAGTCTATGGAACTCTGAAGGGCAGATATGTAACATTATCTTGCAAACACAGAAAATTTACCAAATCTTGAGATGCTGCCAAATACAATACTAAAGCAGGACCAGCACAGTCTTAAAAACAAATTACGTAAGAAATAATTCTGATGAAGAAGATCTTTTACTGGAAATAGCCAAAAAAAATTGGAAAGGTTTGTTTATCTGTAGTAGTTCTTGCACATGGTGTTATTTGCTAGGAAGCAACTAAAAAACACAGGTGGTATGCTTATTGTATAGGAAGAGAGAAACGACTTTTAGAAGCATCATCATATTTAAATAGTTTACTTCTTTACTGAGAACGTTTCTCAGGGATAAATAACACAATCCTATAAATACTTACAGAGAAATCCATCTGTGTATACAGTAGGAATGGGCAACTTTTTGTTCCTAGGAATTGTATTCTTTTGTAATGTTTCAGCCTGTAGGGAATGCAAGAGAAAAGCCAGAAGCAGCCTTTCCCCTACTTCTTCCTTATTTATGAGCAGATCGTTGCTTTGCATCTTTCATAGGTATACACATTCAGTATCACTAAAATTTGCCCTATAATCACTAATCCCCAAAGAGAGAAAGTTTACAAGTTGTTGTCCATGGTTCACAAATGGAGCCCTCCAGGCCAAAGGTGAAGGGGGTGGGGAAAATGTTGGGAATCTGGCACTATAGCTTTGAAGACCCTTCTTAGAAGTATAATATTTTTACACTGAAACACCATTAACAGTAGCGTTTAGAAACTATAATAAACTGGATCGGCAGTTGAGGTCTAGGCTACTGATAAGAACTGTGTCCTCCATCACTCTTGAGGACGACTGTGGTTGTAATCATACAGCATACTAAAGTATAACCAAACCACATCATGGTGTATCTTGCTAACAACAGACTCCATTACATTTGTAGATTTGTATATATCCTCCCTTTCTTAAATGGCTGAGGCTAATTCTATTAGTCTTGCTTTTATAACTGACAAGGAGAGCTCCTCCAAACATTCCTCCCTCCTGACTCATTGTAGTTTAAACAGTTCAGAAATAAAGGCAAAAACTGTCTCATTCTGGGAAAAGCTTGCATCAGCTCTGAAGATACTAACTTTCCAAGGATTTCTCCAGTTTTCAGAGGTAAAACAAGAACGTTCTGAGAGTAAAAGTGATGTATTATGATGAAGATGGGGGAAGGAAGCAAGGTTGCAATTCTAAACGTGCATACAGAGTGTATGTTTCACTGAACTTTTTACAAAAGTAAGTTCAGGGGGAATCTCCAGTAAATTCACATAAGATAGCATTGATAACACTGCATCGTGGCTTTGAGGTTGAGCATTTGAGACTTTCTTGCAAAGAATGTGAATGTGTTTCCATAGACAACAATAGCAAAAGCTTTTTTTTTTCACCACTATGCGAGCACTAATCTATTATGTGGCCTTCGAAGGACAGATTTCTTCATCAGAAGAGGCAGTTCTGTTACCAAAAAGAAAAATTACCCACAACGTCCTTGCCTGTTATTACTACAACTGACAGGAACATGATTAAGATATGTTTTCACTACATATGTTGGAATTGCCCAGTCTTGCCCAATTGCCCAATCCTTTTTGATTGGGATATTTAAATGTATAGGTATTAGATACTGCAAGATTATAGATGATACTGTTAATATGATAATATAAGCATGATCATGGCAGCAACTGTAAAATGGGCATAGCAATTAAATTGTTCCATCTATATCTATTAAATTATATCTAATAATGTAAAGAGATAAATAAGCATATTGAAATATAGCTATTTCCTTTTTCAGAACAGTAAATGTTAGAATTGTATTCACATTTATATAGTCTTTAGCATGTTTTGGACTTTGATGTGGCTATTTTTGTATATATTTTTTGTTTTTGTACGAAAAATACTTATCAGAAAAAGAGAGAAATGGTAGTTGCTGTTACTATCACACTATGGAATTTTCTTCTCCCGTTCTCTGGCTTTACACATTCTTTGATGCATTTAAGAAGGATTTGAAAACTGATTTATTCAATGTAGCAGGCTGATTGTTGGAAGGGGTACTGAGCAGATGACTACAATGACAGTAAAGCTGTTTTTGTCTAAATCGTATTAGTAAAGTTAGATGGTTGGTAGGTTTAGGTTGAATACTGTATTGTATAGTATTTTCAAGGTAACTGTAACTGTATTATGTTTATGTTGATTGCATTCCTTTTGTGCAATTTTAACTGCAGTTTAGTCCTAAATCAGAAGGAGTCTAGTAATAACTTTTCTAGATATGGGGGTTCCCAAGGCTCATTCCCCTTTCCCATTTTACTTAGCATCTTCATGAAGCTGACGGGTGATATACTGATTTGGGGTGAAGTATCATCACATGATACCTGCTATAGAACTCAACCACGAGCCAAATGGGAGATGTGGTAGGAGCCCTGACTGAGCACTTGAACAGGGAGGAAGAGCTTCAGATACAAGCCAAGCAAGATGGATTGGTGGCTAAACCAGAAGCCAACTGATTCCAGGACTAAATCAACGTTAACCATTGGGGGTTGTGCTTCCCCTGAAAGAGTAGGGCCACAACTTAGGAGCAAGTGGGGGCTGTGGCCAGCAGGATCTTTGCCCCATTTTGGCTGGTGTGCCACTTGCAGCCTTTTCTGGAGTGGGAGGCACTGAAGATAGTCATTCACACCCTTATCACCTCTCAGCTGGATTCCTGCAATTCATTCTATGTGTAGCTTCTCTTAAAGACCACTTGGAAACATCAACTCTATGTTTACCAGTCAAGCATGTTATGTGACACCACTGCTACAAGAGCTGTATGGGTTGCCAGTTAGTTTCTGAGTGCAGTTGAAGGTGCTGCTGATGTTTTCAGCTTAGAAACTTGTTCCTAGTAGGATCTGCCTATCCATTGCATATAAACAGAAAGTGCCTGCTGCAAATTCCCACAAATTGGGGTGTCCAACAACAGGGGCCTCCGAGTAGGCATTCTCCCCTCCTGTAGAACATCTTGCCTCCAGAAGTAAGACTGTTTAGAGAAAGCAGGGCCATGAGTGAATGTTGACGGAGGATATTATTGTATTATATTACCCTTATTATTTTTGTATTATTATTATTGTTGTTGTATTTTATATTGTTGATTTTACCATGAATCATTGCCGTGAACTGCTTAGATATAGTTAGATATTCCTACTGCCATGTAAATGCTTCCATTTTCATAGGTGCTGTTGCTTCCTCACCATTAAAACCAGTCTATGCATTTCTTAAAAGGTATACCGGTGGAGAAATTTCCATATCAGTTTTCTGTGGCTTTCAATAACTGCCAGAAATGATCATTAGAACACTTGACAACTTTAATACCTACTTCTGAGTTGCAACCTGACATGGCATGGATTATAATAGCAGCAGCATCACCAAAATAAATATGGTTAAAATCAGTTCCATTGTGCCTAAATGGAAGGAAGTGCTCATGGGTTGGAAAAAGTCGAAGACTACTATTTGGGGCTATATGTACTATACAATAAGTCCCACTGAACGTATTGAAATTATATAAGATTATGTAGCTTTTCTTGCAACTGATATTGTTTTCGTTTGCAAATATCAGTAGGTAGCAAAATAACACCAACCCTAGTTAATACATGACCAGCTGTAGCTGTGTTTTTCAGATTAATTTGGCAACGTAATGAGGCACTAAAGACTGTTGTTTGTTTTGCTATCTAGCTAATTACAGTCTTTCATACCATTTGTTTTATTGTTTTGCTATCACCTATAAGAATGAATCTCATTAGCAAACAAATAAAAATGCAAATTATTATTTAGCTAGCACAATTTAAACGTGTGCTTTAATGTCCTTAGTTTGAACATTTGAACTTCCCCAAATAGCTACATGCCTTTAATTTGTCCACAGTGAAAATGTTACTGAATTGTTGCTGAAAGAACATTTTAGAATCTGAGAAAATATACATGGAGATGCACAATAATCTTTTCCTCAAGTAGATACTGTAAATCAGGGCCATATTAACTTTCTGAGATTGACTGGACAAAGGTATATAGCTGCCCTTCTAGCCAATGGGCAGAGAACAAAGATAAAACAATACACAATTTGATCAATTAGAAGAAAAACCAAGAAAAATCAGATTGAGAGCCCTATAAAAATCTAACTGCCAACATGTCACACCTACCCACATCACAGCTCCATTATCACCCTAACCCCAGTGCTGGGGAAAAACCAGGTCTTTACAGCCTTCTAGAAAGCCATCAAGGTTGGGGCTGTCTGTATTTCAGGGGGGAAGCTGCTCCATAGGGCAGACACCATGACAAAAAAGGTATGTTCATTTGTATGCCATTTCCCACCCTAAAGAAAATCCAAAACAATTAAATTCTCTGTTGTGAAGAAAAATGTGGTGATACTATGTACAATGCATCGGATGCAGGTTTAGTCATACTATACGTTGTTAAGCTATTGAAATCAGTGGGACTTCAGTCATTATTTTATTCTTATATTTTAAGGACAACTAGATTAAACCAATCCAGGTTCAAGAAAACTGGGATCACAAAAATGTCACATAATTTATTGGATTTTGGCTCAGCAGGTAGTGTGAGTTCAGCCTTTCTATTTTGTAAATCATAATGTAGGAGCCCATCCAGCTGTGGTTTATTCCCCAGTATATGACAAGACATACAGTTCAGGCCTTAAAGACCAAATCAGTTAATAAATGTACAATTAAAAATTGTAGTTCAGCTGATAAAGAAGTCATCAATGGCATCTCATCTAGCACAGGTGGGTCCTAATCCCTTCTGTACTGCACTAATTACAAAAAAATTAGAGTGATTTCTTTTTCCTGGGTGACACCTGGTTGAGAAATATTTTTAGCCTTAAGTTTGTCTTAAGATATGCTTTTTTCCCCCTGTTTTGCTTAAAATTGGCTGGAACTTTGAAGTAATCTGGTTTCTGTCACTGCGTATCTCCACCCTACCAACACAACGCAGAGCGATGAGAAAACAAACAGCCAATCCCTAATGGCTTCTACGAACGTAGTGCCAAGTGCTGAGAACTGGCGCTTGCATTTCTGCTGACAGACAATGCTGTTTTTGTTTGCAGGTTCATCAAAATGAAAGAGTGGAGTTTCTTTTACTTACTATTTCTACACACAACAGTCACATGCTCTCTTGACTCGGTAAGTTTTACTCTTTGTAAGAAAGTTTGTGTATTTTTTTTTTAAAAAGGGAGAAGCAAAGTGAAAAAGCCATGCACAAATAGCATTCACAAAGGGGATGCAGTGATTCAGAAATGAGCTGCATAGAACAGGGTTCTCCTAAGTGTTTCGAACTGCATTTGACTTTTAAAAGCATCTGGTAGGGAAGGGGACAAAAGCTGAACTTGTAGGCTGCATCTGACTTGATAGCACCCCTTGAGCCTCCAAGAGTGGGCAAGTTCAAAGCTTTGTTATATTTTTGCAAGGTTGGTGAAATGCTAAGAGGTAAAGTGGAACCTTACGCTTTGCCCCAGTAGTCCTCATTATCTTTTTCACAAATAAGACCTCAACAAAAATATGGTTGAGCTCCTGTTCATGGTGCCAACAGCTATATATTTTTAAATGCTCTGTTGGTTCCCTCCCTCATTTTTCCAACAGATACTCAGGCTTTTATAGCTACCATGCATGCTCGGTCCTCACAGAATTGTTTTGGAGTCCCAATTTTTTTCTCTCAAGTTTGTTTGTCTTTCTTTATATCTTAGTGCTGCTCACTCCACTGATGTACCTCTTTTGCATGGATAGAGTTGTTTGGTCTACATAAATATCAGTATTCAGAACTTTTTGTCTGATCTGAGTAGCTCCATATATAGCACTAGAGCTGGTCCTGCGTTTGAGAGCTGAATTCCCCAGAGATTTGCCAAGGAGGATCTCTTTCTGATTCTCCAGAATTTATTCTAATCAAGCCTGCTGCCAACCCTTCACCAGTGAGGGAACTTTGTGGGGTGACTCTTCTAGGTCATCAAATAAGAAAAAGAATATCCCACCTCTAATCATGATTTTGGACAGCTTTTACATGTATTATTACAACATGTAGACCCATGAGCAGTATATACTGTGGTACAATAGGAACTTCATACTAAGCTATTGAATTAACAGTCCAGTAACTCTATGACTTTACTCCTCCATCTTTCCATAATGTGCTCACTCTCTCTGCTGAGGGATCCTGTAGCTGGTTGCCTGCTGGAGGACTTTGATCTGCTTTTCTCCTCTCCCTCTCATACTTGCATCTTTGTCTTCTTGGAACAGGTTTTCAAACTGCTTCTCCTCAGAGATGAACTTCCAGCTCTTCACTTCACATTGACTTGTTATTCTGGTCTTCCTGACACAAAGCCATGTGCCTTCCTTCCTTCCTTCCTTCACTTCTCACTCATAGGTAGTCCTGCCAGCAGAGGGCAGATGCTCCCTGCTAGTTCCAAACATTCTTCCTTTCCTTTCTCATTTTGCCTCCCTATTTCTCTCTTTGTTGCCAGACCCAAGTTGGAGTGTTATATGTTTCTAAGCTAGCTCTCTGTCCCTTCACAAACTAGCTTCCTTTGCTCCATTCCATTTCCTGTCCCCAGGTTGCCTGACCTTTAGGTTTGCAGTTACTTAAACCATAACCCGTCATCAGCATATCTCACAGGAAATTCTTCCTATCCCTTCTCAAAATCTGGAGGTTGGTTTACCTACCTCTCAGATTTAGAAAGTCTTATCTCCTATGTTCTGCAGATTAGCTATTTAGCATACAACTTTAATTTTTCCTAACTTCCCTGCAAATCACTAGGTTGCATCAGTATAAATGAAATATACAAAGGTGTCACTTACTGGAGCATTCCAGTGTCAAAAAGGGAGCTACCAACAAAATCATTTTTTACATGCGCTTTATAATCTTTTTGTTTGTTTTTGTGAGTTCTTCATATCTCATTAGGCAGAAAACTCTTAAGTTTTGCTAATAATTACTCAGCTACAATGTTCTCAGGACTTGCTGATGGGGTGCTCTTTTACTATGTTAGTAAAAGCTTACATCAAGGAATCATCAGAAGGAACTGTTTTGTCCTCGAATAGTATAACTGGATGTTACTATGACTGATCTTGGCTGTCATTAAACACATAGGATTAGCCTCAAAAAGAATTAAAATGTAAGATGTGAGACACAAAGGAACATCTTTGTTTTTGTCTGTAATTGTCTAGGTGCTGAATATTCCCATTCAAAATTATCAGCATTTGTAACTGTATTCTTGGGGTTCATGTAAAAGAGAGAAAGAGAATGAAAAGGACGGTAACACTTTTTGTAAAGAGAAGATAGTATATTACTTGGATATAATTGTTAGCTTGTAACTTACCATATAAATTATAAAATAAAAGCGTGTAGGTGTATATGTATTAATCATAGCAACTGGGACAAGCATGCAGTTATATGCCTGGAAACCAAAGGATTTGACAGCTGTTTAATACCTGGCTTTGAATTTAGATTTTTTTTTTTAAATGTACTCAGTAAAGCAGGCAGAGTCAGTTACATACAGTCTGTTTCCAATTAGTGATATAGCCAAACCCAAATAGCATCCCCCCCAAATAATTATGTTTTTGTTTTGCATTTTATTTCAGTGGGCTTTAAGAGACAATCCTCAATCACTTTAAAATTTAGAATTCTGTAGTGTTCCAGGTTAGTGGCTTTAATTCCACTTATTTGTGAATTATAGTTATATAGCAATAATTTGGAATGGTGCATAGAATTTGCAGCTGACTTCTGTTGTGGTATTTGCAAACGTGCAGAAAATGTCTTTTCCCTGAAGAAGCAAATTTGGAGTTCTTAACTCAAGAAATCTGCTGTTGCCCTTACGTGACTTGTTCAAAGATCATCAAGGGGGCGGGAAAGAAGCTGATGATTATCTCTGATGCAATTTATTCAAATGGATTGTTTGATCCACTCCCTCCCTGATGCTTAGAGGCTTTGGGATTTGGTAAATTGTTCAGAAAAAGTCCCAAAACCTTACTTGGTTTTCTTATATCAATAGCAAAAGCCCTAATGCATAAGAATAGAAATGCAGAACTTTCATTCCGGATATGCTACCAATGATAAGACTTTCTTTTTCTTTGGGGGACAAGGAAATGACTCTTTCTTTCTTTCTTTCTTTCTTTCTTTCTTTCTTTCTTTCTTTCTTTCTTTC